ATGGAATTAATATGAGAAAATGAAAAAAGGAAACAAAGCCTTTGTAAATAGGGAGGGATGGAGGGGTTGAAGGGAGGGCAGGGGAAGGGGGAAAATAATAAGAACCAAAGGAGTATGTAAAGGTGCATATCTCCAATGACGAATGTCATTATATTGAACACCTGAAATGTACCAATAAGGGGATATACAAAAAAAAAAGAAAAAAAAAAACTAATGAAACAATGACAAGAATGCAAGTATTATAGCGTGTTCTAAGCTCCCCTTTCAAGTTACTGAGATTTCCATCCCCAGTAAGAGTACTTCTGTCAATAGTTCCAGCAACAGGATCCATTTTGCTAGTTTCTAAACCTTACATATATGACACTGTACACTAAGTGTTATTTTGCTTCTGCTCTCTATGCTTAGCATTATTTTTGTGAGATTTATCCACATTGGTGTGTGCAATTATTCCTTTTCAGTTTTCATGGTAGGATAGTATCTCACTGTGTAAATATTTCACACTTAATTCTCTCATGAGCAAACATCTGCCGAACTCTGTGGTATGGTCCATGACACTCGTACTGCTGTGACCATGCTTTTCCACGCCTTTGGTGCATCTTGTTGGGAATTACCATGGGGCCTTTCCTGGGAGTGGTTCATGGGCTATGCCAATTTTCAACTTCAGTAGGTATTACCAAGCAGTTCTTCAAAGTGTTTGTAGTGGTTCATTTTCATACCAGCACTGTGAGAGGTGTGGTTGATTTCCATCCTTGGAAATCCTTGATATAAGCCATGGACCTCTCATGTTACCCATTCTCAGTTTAATTCCCAGTGGCTGCCTAGCCGGGCATGAGGTCTATGGTTGGTTGTGGGCAAGAGAGTGGGAGTGTAGGTTCTCTCGGTAGAGATTGTATCTAATTAGCCAGCTCCTTTTAGTCCACCAAGGCTATCTTGGGTCGTCCCACCCTATGCTCCCAGAGTCCACATTTTGTTGCAATTCCTTGTGTAAGTAGCTGTTTTCACCTCAAGTGTGTGACCTACCTGGGGTTTGAGACCAAACTTGTCTTGTCCGCTTTATAGTTTCTGGCATGAACTTGAAATTCAAATAACTGGTTAGTGAATAAATCCCTGAAATGTTCTAATGGACCTCAAAAGGAACTTCAAAGCAGTTACTTTATGTTAATAATAATTAAAATGACAAAGATGATGATACTGGTAAAAACTTAATGTCATTTATGAGATTTATGTGTGCTATCTAAGGATGTAGTTTGGGAATTAATGGTGTTTGTTTTGTTTTTGTTTTGTTTTATGTTTTTTGCTGCCTTTGGCACACTCCCGCCACATCACTTAGCTCCATAGTTCAGTTTTCTGTCTCTCTGAGGGGCTGCAAGCTACTCAAGGCCAGAATCTGTTGAGTCTGTCTCCACAATACCAGCGCCCACAGAGGGCACGTCCTGAGCTCAGGCCGCGTGAGCTGAAGGAACAAATGAAGGAATGGCAGGCAGAGGGCCTGAGCTGGAGGAAACTGGACTTCACTGAAACTTCCTGTTTCCCTTTTGTCATTCGGCCAAGTATGTGCAGGAAAATGCTGAAAGCCTGGTCGTGGCAGTGTGTGATACTGCCACCCTCCCTTTGGGTGAGGATGAGGAGGACACATGCTTGGGCCACGCATCATAAAACCCAGCTCAGGATAAAAGGGCTCTGGTCGTGGATGCCTCAGTGTCAGTTCTCTCAGGAAGTGGCTCCTCTGCCTCCACAGAGCCAGGTGAGTGCCCACGGGGGAGAGGCCCTGAGCGGAGAGGGCTGAGCAGACAAGTCTGTGCTTCAACAGGCAAGAGGAGTGGGAACCCGGATGGAGGTGCCCAGGGACCCATGGAGGGCACAAGGAATGCGATGGGGGAAGGGCTGGACTGCAGAAAGGAGAGGCCATGAGCCACGGTGGGGGTCCTGTGATGCAGCCAGTCCTACGCCCCCTGTTCCCCACTTCATGTTCCCAGAGGTGCATCTGCTGCCTCCTCAAATCCTCACTGAGTTTCCTGCTCCTCACCAAGCTCCAGAGGCTGCCAAGCCCTGGAGGGTAGTGAGGTGCTGCAGGTTCTGTGTGCAGAGTACCTGCAGAGGGCGCTATTCACAGTGAGCTGTGGGACAGCCAGGGAGGGCAGGAGCAGAAACCCTGGAGGCTCACCTAGGAGTCTGTCATCTGCCCTCCTGGCTGGAGATAAGAAAAGGCTCAGTTTCACTCCAAATCGGTCTCCATTTGCCTTCTCCAGATCCTGACTGAAGCCCAACTCAGTCTTCGGGGAGAGGATCTCCATCTAAAGCACAGGATGAGGCAACACTGGCCTGCAGCCTCTGCACTGACTACTATTCCGTTTTGCTTTAATTTTCCCCAGGCTCTCCGACCCCAGCGAGATGTCCTGCCAGCAGAGCCAGCAGCAGCAGCGCCAGGCCCCTCCCCAGTGCCCCTCCCCCGAGTGCCCCCAGAAGAGCCCGGCACAGTGTCTGCCTGCTGCCTCCTCCTGCTGTGCGCCCAGCTCTGCGGGCTGCGGGGGCCTCAGCTCCAGCTCCGGGGGCGGCTGCTGCCTGAGCCCGCACAGGCGCCGCAGGTCGCACAGGTGCAGGCTGCGGAGCTCGGACTCGTGTGATGGTGCCAGCGGCCGGCAGTGTGGGGGCTCTGGCTGTGGCCACAGCTCTGGGGGCGGCTGCTGACCTGGACC